AGGAAGGGATGATGGATGTGGCACAAGTTGTTTCACTGAACAAAATATTGTAGATGACTTTTGAATTTATCGCCCGCCATTTATAGCAAAAACTGCACAAACTTCCTTGATTACCTCATAACTAGATGGACTAACAGAATTAAGACTTAGCATGCATGCAATAGTTAGCGCTCTTATGCTAAAAATTGCTTGTCACTTGCTGAGTCCCGCCAGCCTTCGCAGAACTACATAAGGGACTAATTCAAATCCAAAAAATACGCGAAAGTTTTTTGTCTAACGAATCAGGCACATGTATACAGTGATATATCGGTTGAACATCCTAATCACGGATATTTTGCTTAAAAATTCTCATGAAATGATATTTTGTGAGAAAAAAATGTATCAGCAATGCAATAATGTTGCCGTTACCACCATTACTACACCAGCAAGAAAGAAAACATTTTCTGCGACTTGAAATTCGCCCATTCAAAGAGGCTCCGCTATACAGCTTAAAACCACCTCCAAAACAACCGTCAATATTATCGAAGCCAGGTTACTTGCAGTGAGAAAGTTATCGTCAATCTGAATGCTTGAACAAACATCATTTTTATCCGCAATCAGAAATCGTGAAAGCTTCTGATTACCGCAAAGTCCAGGATTTCTTCCCAAGGGGTACATATCAGCTACTTGGACAGAAAAGGCAATGAATTGCAATACATTCTTATTTGGCATTTAGTAAAATTGTTGCCGGTACATTTTGATCACCCCCTATCTGGCTACGCCAAATTCATCTGAAAAATAGTACGATGTCACGATCGAAATTGGAGAGGTGAAAGAGATGTAAGAGAATATCTTCTTTATTTTGCCCTCCTCTAAACCACTCCCGATACTTTTGGAACAAACTTTACAAAAGCCATGTAAAGCTTGATCGCAAACATTATATCACAGTTGAAAGAAGCGATCCCAGTGGATATGTAGAACTTTTCAATTTTCCGTTGACAGCTAACTACGTGGAACTAAAGTGCCTCACCTTCACTGCATCGCCAGAAGGTCCTTCCGCAGCGGGAGTGAAGCAGCCTTCAGGATTCGCGGAGGCTCCGTGAAGCAGTCCATTAATTCGCATTGACTCAAGTAGCGACGCGGCAGCATTATGCTGAGCCCCAACATCCGCTTCGGACGCACCGGACGTTGACGTTGAGGCCGCAGTCGCGGCAGTGGCTGAGGTGATAGTGGCGGTGGAGGAAGACCCATCAGACGTCACGGCTTGACTCTCACTGCTACCTGGCTTGGCAGCAGCGTTGGAAGTTGCGTTTAAGCCAGGAGCGGTTGGAAATGTGTACCCTGCTGCAGACATTTGCTGGGGAAGGGTTGGGGCAGCAGAAGGGTCCAATGGATTGACTGGCGTTGGGAAGAACAACTGAAAAAGTGGGATTGAAAGGGTTGGGGTAGGAATGTTAGCGCTTCGCTTTTAAATCTCCCTCGACTCGGCTACTACAGAGAGTTATGGTCATGTCACTTGCGCTACCAGTACGTCAACCTTTTATGTTCTTTAAAGGCTTATTACCAAGGTTGTGCACCTTAGGATCCCTGTGTACATCATCCAATTAAACACGTCCCTAGTTCACAAGGTCGGAGTTCCAGTTGGCTTTACCTTAAAACTAAACGTGACCCAGCTGTTTCGTTTCAAAGTGAAGGGAACGCCTGCCCACACGTTTACTGGAGTTTGTCCCATAAAAATTTTACAGTCCTGGCATAAGCATCGGGTGTTTTTGCCGACACTATCCAAACTAGATAGAAGAGCAAGGAGTAGGAATTTCAAATTTTGCCATTTTGAGAACGTGGATCACTTTTGTGGCAATTTTCGAGAAGAGTATTCATTGAATAGTTAAAAAAAAGAAACAATAAAAAATTTGGCGAATACATTCATACATATCTAATTGTCACCAATAGTCAGGATAATATGAAACGTTCTAATTATGATTTGCCCTTCAGCATGGCCGACTTGTTGCACTACAAATCAAAACGAGGTTGAGATAAGTTGATCTGAGGGACGAAAGATGAGTCGTATTAAATAAAAAGCGAGAATACTACTTCTAATTCGATGAACTAGTTAGGCAATGAAGTCGAGACAGCGGAGGGTTTGGGTGATTTAATTTGTGACCTGCTCTGGAAGCAGATTGCTGAAGGGGAGAGTTATAAATTTAGTCCAGTTGAAATGAAACCACCTCAAGGAAAAGGGACAGGAGGTACTCACAAGGTTTCCTGCGCCTAGAGCCGGAGGGGTAACAGTATGAAGGAAGTTCATCGATCACGACACTCAAAATCCCTCACACATAAACACGAATACACAAGTACGCCCAAATGGGTAGGTGGCTAAAGGGGCAATGAGGTGGCCGCCCGACTCCGTCCGAATAATCACTAAGCCCTGCAAAATGTGGGGCACGATGTGTGTGTGTGTGTACGTATGTGGCCACGATGGAAGCACACAAACGCGTTATAGAGCCATAGTGGGCTGCCCACTCGCCTTCTTCGCCCAATGGTGCGTACGTGAGTGTGGACGCACGCACCCCACGGATTGGTCACTACTGTCTTGTGGAATGGGAAAACGCGTACGTACGGGAGTGGGTGCTGCTGGCACCCCGATGCATTGATCGATCGTTTAAGTGGTGCGCGCACACACACAAAATTGTGGTTTTTCCACGTCGTCGTAGTTTGGGGGATGAGATGCTTGAAAGATCGTGCAAGTAATCTTATTTTAAAAGTCGAGCCCTCTTGAAAGAAATCACTTCAGGGATGTCAGACCAAAGGTGTAGGTATAAAATGGGACAGCTAAAACCTGGCTATTGCTATTAATGTTAGGATTCCACTCGCAAACTAGAGAACCTCGTGCCGGAAAGGTGGCCATTGTATTTATGCACTTGACTTTTTGCTCATACCACGTACGCGGTCAGCCCTCAGTCCTACTGCCTTGTATTGCCTTCGGTAATAACTGGAGCGCTCTAGTCTACCGTAGCGCGTTTGGTCTGGGTTGCTTCGGCTGTTCTAATGAGCAGTCGAAAAACTGTCCTATTTGTGGTGAGATTGGCACAAGGGTTGTCTGCGCAATTTAGTTCAGGAAGCAGGAGTGGGAAAAGTAAACCAAAGTCGGTGTGTTATTTAGTAATTTCTCAACCGAAAGATTGAGCAACACGAGGGATTTTACAGTAAGAGGTAAGTGATTCAACAAAAACTACTGCCAAACAGTTATACTTGAGGAAACTAGGCAGGAGTAACGATAGTGGGATTTCACAACTAATCCAATTTAACCACCACTACAAGAATTTCAATCTGACTCCAAATGGCAGGTGACCAAAAATTTAACGCGGTTTTCGGTAATAGGTAACAGCGGCGGCTTCCTGCAACTCCTAGGGTCATGTGAAATCCGTGCAAGTGCTTTTACCCATGCAGTATAAAGCGAATACGGGAGCACTTTAGTCAATCAGTACGGTTCACTCGATTGGGTTCGCAAACACCTCCTTATTTTCGACACCCAATTCACGCATTATCGGTAGACATAAGCCCCATGTGATTCCAGCCTGTCCACTTTACCAACCAGGCCCAATTCGGTCACAAACCTCCAGAAAATGGTTTTATGTCTAATCTTCTTCATTACACTTGGAGAAGGTGTGATGACAAAACAACGTACTACCCAGAACCAGAACCAAATGGATTATACACAAATGGGAATTTGGTAATGAACCATTCAAAGATAGATGCATCACATTAATGATGTAAGAAACAAATCTCTAACACAAGACCTCATACCGCCACACAGTCTACCCATAAGATCTAATAGGAGAAAAATTATGCTTCATCCCCATTCTCTGTATTCCCTTTTTCCTGTTTCCCCGAGTGATGATTGTCACCCTTTCGTGACATTAGCATCAGACAATCACATGACCACACCCAAAACAGGGGGGACAGTCAAAAATTAAAAATGGGAGGGGTTATGGAAAGCTCTCCACAGCTAGTCCACTAATTACCAAAAATCGCTTGAAGTTATATGCAAGTAACCCGGGCATTTATGGCAAGCGCGAGCGGGACAAGGCCAAGACAACACTGACCTTAGGTTGGAACACAATACTCGCCAGACAATAGACGTTACTGATGGGCTATAATTAAAAATTTTAAAAGTGTGTAAAACGAAATGAGAATTCGATGTGTTACAAGTTAACAAAAACCAATGTGACCTCTTCTCATCCAAAGTTATATCTTACAGATGTTTCACCACTGTTCTGACCTTTGATACGGAATATAACATTATTGGTCAGAAAAGAGGAAATTCAGTCCAGCGATTGTGCAAATATTGTGGAGGCTGTTCCACGCCACTGCCTGGATGCACAAAATATGTCGATTGCATTTCCTACCCCCAATGGCACGACTGGTGGGAATTAACGACAAGAAGCATTCCATCCGTCCGTCCAATCACACATGACTGAGGCAGGTGCGAATAGAATAAACAAAGTATTCATAACCATCTTCACATGATTGGCTACTTTGATTCACTGTCAGTCAAGTAGGAGTACGAAGACAACCAGTAACAAAAATGCGACATGTAGTAATTAAACCTGTTACTTTCAAGGAATATCATCGCAGAGAAAGTGTGTAAAATGTGCTGCTTCAACAAGGAGTTAAGATGGGATGATATTAGAAGCTCTTTCCCCTTCCTTTGATCATTTGGAAATGAAGAACAAACTTACTGTCACCTAGTTGATCAAAAATATTTGATAAACAGCACTACCATCCTATCACCTTTTTATCACTTTCAATGAAGTACTCCATACGTCAAAGTCCATCATAGTAATTCTGGTATTTAACAAAAGTGCCACACTTCACACCAAGACAAAAAAAACGTCAATTGAGTGACCCTTGGCCTGAGCTTTTTTGCTTAAAACTACAGCTAAGTGACACTCACCGGTAAACAATGAGAGCAGAAAAATGAAAATAGCAAGTTTCCTGTGAGGATTTGACGGAAACCATCCAAAAAATTCGCTAATCACAGGATGAGAATGAAATAAATAATTGAACTATTATTAAATAACTCACTTATTACTAATGGGGAGAAAGCGGGATGGAAAAACTCACGTGAGAGGTTAGCATGGCGTGCTTTTAACTGCGCCTAGCAATGGCGTGTTTAGCAGTCGTTTCACGGTGTGTGCATGTTTGTAGTCAAACTTCGTCCACTCTCACCTTCACCAGCATTACGACCCGAATGCACACAAAAACGAATCGTAAACACTCAAAAGTTAGAGAGAGAGGGCGAGAATTGGGTGTGTGTGTGTTGCGTGCGCACATGTACGCGTTTAAGACTGTCCGCGAAACACAGAAACAGTTCTCGTAACATTCATGTATGTGCGTAACAGCCACCACCATCACTACTAGCCTACACACAGATTGCATGGCCGGTAGGAGGCAGAGCAAACAGCAGCCCTCTAAAGTTCACCTTTCTAGCATGCTGGAAAAGTTTAACCTGTACAATTTGTCAATCAAGGAGCTCGGGTATCCATTTCATCGAGTGAGTCCGTACGTTGAGTCTCCTCATCCCACCCTTTACGCCAACCGCAACTGTAAAACAATACTTATTTAAGTGTACATTCAACTACGCGGCCTCTAAGTCTCTTCAAGTTCCACCTGGTGGTGTAGACATCTGCCCAAACCTACACCGTACCCCGGTGTTCAGATGGCAAGGGGTGTTGGACTTCACTAAACTAAACGTGTCAAATTTAACCGTGAGTACATCATCTCTCAAGGCAGAAATGCGGTAAAGTTACAAGGTTATTCTCACAATCCTTCCGTTTTAAGTCCTGCGATGAGCTTTGATGACATATAGTGCGTGGTGAATATCGTCTCTGAGTCATTTGATATCGTGAAAAATCATAGATGAAATTCGAGAACACGCTCACAGATATAACTCCATAGTGAGCCAAAGACATTAAGATACAGTTTTTTTAATAACAATCGGTTTAGGCAAAGTTCTTTTCGATCGCTTTGCTTTACAAATTGTTTATCACCTCACCTCTTAAAAAATGCGTCTTACGGAAGGCAAATTAGCAATGCTACCTTCTCGACATGAAATGTATTTACACTAGACCAAAACATTCCAGGATCCCTCGTTGACAGTTAGTGATTAAAGCGCCACTATTAATGGAGAAAACGCACTTAGGCTCCAGCACTCACACCTTGATCCCACTGATTAAGCAATGTTTTCACAGATTATTACGAGACCACTTACTCAGCACATTACTGACTACCAATTCGCTATTGGAACGCTTCTACCAAATCTCGCTAGCAAGGGAACAATTTAAGGCATCTCTTCCTTTTCAAGTCGAGAAGAAAACAGACGCAAGCACCATGGCTTGTGATTGTGTTGTGCAAGTGAGAGTTTCCGTACATTCGGAGAAGGGGTACACGCGATCTCCATTCCATAACGACGTCGGAATATATTTTAAACATAAGGGCTGGGGATTGCTGCCTGCAACTCCCGCTGAAATCAAATGGAGTAAAACTACCTTAAGCAAGTCTACGCCAATTCATGTCAATTCTACTCCAATTTTGCTGCATAAAACAGGAAACCTTTAAAAGAGACATATTTGGGTCCCATGATGGTAATGCGATTGGCTGAAATGATTTTGCCATTTCGTGGAGGTCATTTGCATAAAAAAAGTGACAGTTAGACAGATGGCATTTGAAAAGTAAGCCGAAATTTTAGAATGGCACTTTATTATTATCGTTTATTTGGGCATTATACAATTCCTTTCAGCTGAACAAGACATCAACATTCCACAAAAATTGCAGCATTTACGGAGTTATTTTCCTCGTTAAATGAAAGGTGAAAAACCTGTAAATTCACTCAAAAATCCCGTGCCTTTCACCTCTGCCTTGCTTCAAGTAGCATTCAAGGCGAGTACACAGAAATGAGGGAAGCTTTTATACAGAAGGGACGCATCCAAATAGCGCGCTGCATTAACAACTTCTCAATTACATTGTTGAGCCGCAGTCCCGCCGCCCCGAAAGAAGGACGAATTTGCCCTGAAGCATCCCGACTGCCTGACTCACCCACTAGACACCGCAACACGTACTGGTTATGAATTATTTGATGTGTGTGGGCGAATGCACTTGCAGTGGTGGGACTGTCGGCCTACATCCCCACCGCGTAGCCTTATCGCCGCGGGTGACGCATCGCATCGATTTTGACCGCGTTATTGCGCACGCAGGGCGGCACGTGGAATCGCGAGGCAGAGGTCACGCAAATTTTTGCGTGCGACCTGACAGCCGTAGACTTAACACCCAGGCATTAGTTTTTGGAGCTATTAGATGGGGTTCCACAGACACCATCACCAAGTGAGATCGCCTGCATGAGTTTTATAGCACTACAATTTATGAGTTTGCTTTACTGCTTCACTTTCTCACCACTTCCATGTTGCAGTTGTGGGATGAAAAAATACACCATGGGAAGTGAATGTACAATCCGTCCGATGAAGAGTTGGAATCGCGTGCAAAAAAATCCCAATTTTATAAGATGTTAGGACTAGACATGAGAATTGAGAAAAAAATGAAAAGTGTTGCCGATATTTAGTGAAGTTATTCACAAAGTAACCAAACTCTGCAATAAAGAGCAAATAAGTACAGCTTAAAATAAACACTATTACAATCTGCCCTTAGTTCCCACTAAACGAAACAAACAGCGGCTGCAAATCTCACCTCTGATAAAACGCTTCATTCCTTGAGATGCAAAAATAGCGCTTAGACACCACCCTTTATGTCTCGCACCTATTTTCAGAATGCACATTCTGTTTTTCGTGATCCTATGGATGTCTACTGCTGATGTCACAAAAAGGTGACAAGCATCGCTTGGAGAAATAGCTTGAGAGGAGAACGGGGGGTGAGTATGTAATAGTGCTTTGTGAGATGAGTCAATAAGCAATTCCCTTCCACATGGATTTTACTGGATGAGTTGAAGAACAAGTAGCTAGGCTCCAAAGATTCTGGACATCTGTAAATGGATGGCGTATAGGTAAGACCCACTTGCTACCGGTGGCCTCAACCAATGCCTTGCCTTCTCATTTGACGCGGGCGTCAACGAACTGTTTCATCATCCTGACTTAAGGCTGTTCTAGACAGGTAAACTTCCGATTATTTTTATCAATAGTGTCACGCAATCCCTCATTCTTCGGGACCAAAAATAAATAATTATGCTGTACCTATCTTCGACCAATTTACCGGAAGTTGACTCTGGCTGGTACGTTGTTCTGCTGGTGCACCCTCTTCAAACACGATGCGACATTTTGGAGGAGAAGCTAACTACTGCAGATGTGCGACGGTACGCAATTAGCCAGGTAAAGTGGACAAGCTGGAAATGCGCCAGGATCCTCTTAGCCTGATGCCATACAAAACGAGGGCTGAAGGTAAAACTGGCAGGTAGAGAGCCCATTCAATAGTCCTGTGCTGAAAGGCTCACATACGCATACGTACAAACGATCTCAAGCATCTCGCAAGCCCCTACATTTCATTCGAATCAGTGCAGCGAGCAAAATCGGAAGCCGCATTATGAACAAGTTCAAACAGTACCCAAGCTTAGGGTATCCAGATCGAGAGCATAAATTACGGTAATAGTTGTTATATTTAGGGCACGAAATTCCATGGCTATGATTTGTGGCAGTGCCTACTGAGAATCATCTACATTGTTGATAGATTTACCAAGTGGCACCGGGACTTACCCATTCGTTGAACAAGACTACAATCAGTAATTAAAAAGGATCGTACTAAGATGCGCTCAAAGGAAAACTGTATCTGGAGGATCTTTTGTTTACCAAAGGACAAATAGGCTCTCCACGAGGCGATATTCTGTTTACACAAATTCCGGACAGGAGTAGCAACTTCCTCAGCTAACGAAAAGTAAGATAATTTATCTTTGCACGCAATGAACTTCCAGCAACCGTGAAGTGGGTCATTCTATGAGCGAATGGTTGAAACGCCTAAAACGCAGTGCTTTCGGTGCGCAAAAACATAAAACACCAGAGGCCTCCAATAGTGGAACTGACACCAATAGTGGTGTTAGTGGGCGTCGGCAAGATTTCGGCAACGAAAGGTATGAGTCAGTTCGTGCAATCCCAACCAATCCAAAAAAGGGCAATGAATCATTACACTGGCCAACCCGTGCACCCACCCACACCGCAAGAGGGCAAATACAGTCTGTCTCTAGGCCGCAAAGTCCAAGGGATTGCGCAATCGATAAATCAATAGTTCGGGCTTTAAACTGGTCATGTCCGTGCCATTTCAGTGCCTTTTCGTTGCAAAAAATCGATGGTTTTAAAAAACAGAAAATTTTCGGTTCTAGCACGGCCACCAAAAATGATGTTATTTGATCTTGAGATCGTGAACTATTGCTATCAAGGAGGTAAAATCCTCAACAGGGTACCTCACCTGCATCAATTTGAGAGTGTAGACATTGATGGCATCATAATTAAGCACAAAAAAGTTGTAACTAGCTTCAATTATGCGATAGTGTTGACAAAAGTCAGGAGATTTGTACAACTCCAATATTCTTCAAGCATGGTATTACTACCGATTCAATTAGTAGACCTATAGCAAAACAAAAACCCAGTAAAGACCCTGCCAGCACAGCTTGGAGTGAGCTCTATGCAGGTTTTGTAGTGATTTCATGCGCGTAAAAACGCGGGTACTTTAGCCACAGAGACTCGTGCTTTAGTCCTGATCTGTAGTTTCCCAATCCTTTTGTACGTTCACAACAAGTTTTCCCTAATAAGATAGCTTACCGCGACTTTAATGAAGCTTAGTGGGAACATTTCAAATTTTAAGAAATTGAATGTGGATGGTAGTGAGGGAACTCAAAATTTTTAGAATTTTCCCAGCACATTTAGGGAATATGATAACACGGGCGCAACACCCCACAGAAGTTTTAAAAGGGCTTAACATCCTAAAATGTCGCAAAGTACGGATAGCAGAACCACAATCTTTTTTCAAGTGGTTCAGAAAATTCTACCACTAAAGTGCTTTCAGGAGGTCGCACCCAAATCCTACTCACCTGAGTGGCTGATGGTTTGGCCGCATCGCAGCTTCCACCGAGTTGATTAGGCATGCCACGAAGAGCGAAGAAGTCCATCAACCCACAGGGAAGTCGCTTTGAACTGTGTGAAAAGGTGAGAGGAGATAGGACAGTGGATAGGGGCCTGGCAGTTCCAGAGAAGGGCTGTCGCGGCGTCTGCGGCGTGAAGGGTCCCATGAGGCTTTGGCCGGGATAAAATCCGCCCGGTCGTGAGTTTCCCGGTCGCATGGTAGCAATGACGGCCGACGGCTGTTGATGCAGCATGGGAGAGCAAACCTTCCCCACCGGTGTCCGATTGGGCCAAAGCGAGAGCCGTGTGAGTGAAGAACCATGGAAATTTTAACGCACGCAGGCACGCCGATCGGGCACCAATCAGAGGCGTGCGCACGTGCGCTCACATGGAAATCGATGCTCTTGAGTCAACGCATTCATTGGTCAGAGGGTCCTGTGAGCTTGATTGGTCAAGTCGTCTATTGGCATCGGCATGCCTCTTGGCAATTTAGAAGAGGGGCAAGACAATGCTTTGTCTAGCGCCTTCTTCTCTCGTACACGGAGACAGAAAATCTCAAAATACCTATAGGCTAGTTGAATGCATCCGTAAATCATTTAGTTAGAAAATCGAGTGTCTGGAAAGGGGAGATTCATGTAGAAAGTCACTATAAGTGTTAATAGAAAGGAGAAATCCTTAAGCTTACATAAAGTGTTATGTATTTAAAACTGTACATTTTATTTAAAGGATTGCTAGCGCTGAGGGCAAATCAGAATTGGACATAGTGAAGATGTAGTAGATTGGTTAATGAATCTGAATGCATTCAATGAGTCAAATATATCCCGACTTCTGGCATTTAAGCACCTTAGCTTAAAGAACTCAAAAAGTGTATCGCAATCTTCTGCATCACAAGCCGCATGATTTTGCCCTATGGAAAAATAACAGTGAGAGACATTGGTGACATTAATGGCATTTTGTAAAACCGGAGGTCTAAGCGGCATAATTTTACTAAATGTAAAACAATCAGCAAAGAGTAGGCAGTGTTTATAGTCAAACATATAGGGATGCAAAAAGAATTGTAAAAAAATAGGGGCAAAGCAACCATTGCCAAAATCCATCATCTCTTCCC